TTTTCTATGTGTCTGCTACGTCTACACTCACGGTGCCTTACGCTGAAATAGNAAAGTTGATGATATTTTTATTTGTGTTTTTCTATGTGTCTGCTACGTCTATACACACGGTGCCTTACGCTGAAATAGACACACAACCTTTTGCTAGGAAATAAGTTTACTTTTACGTAGCTATAGCTACATTTTATAACACAGCATTGTACGATGTGTGCCATCCAGCATAGTTATATATGTACATATGTACATACATAGGTATTTAAGTACGTAGGTGGGGAATCTGCCATTGACAGTGTGTAACATCAGAAGCCGCAGCTTTCAAGTGCGTATCCATGCAAAGATGATGATGACTATGATGTGGTAGCACAGCATAAATAAAATATGATATGGATGTGAATAGCAACATTACTGCCTGCCTTGCGTTTATTGAGCTCGGACTAGGAAATGTTGATGTTAGTTGGAATATAAAACAAATAAAGATGACTCGGCTTTTAAATTGTATGGATGCAATTTGCAAGCAGTGCATCAGATGGCAAACATCGAAATAATCTTTCGATTTATGAGTGTTGAGTAGAATAATAAAAGCTTGTAGGAGTTAGTAGGATCCTTCTCCATCGTTTGAAAGGATTACTGAAGCTACAGCTCTTATCCGAAAGTGGTAAAGTCCTAGAGTCATTTTAATGTAGGTATGAATGCTAAGCTTCGTTTTGTGGAATGAATTTCAAATTTGAATAGAAAATTATTAATTTTTAGAATTTGTATATTTTCAGGCGATATGAATTGCCGTAGTTAACTATGTGACTCTGAATACAAGTTGAAAGTTAAACTCTTGTTGGTGGTTAAGTTATCAATCGTTTAACAAAGCACTGCGAATCTGGCCCTTAGTCACACAAATGCTTCTCGGGGAATGCATTTCATAGTCGATAGGTATTCGATTCAGGCAGAACCGCTTCCCTGTGCACAGCGGAAACCCCACTTGAAACTGCAAGGACATTATCAACAAAGATCTATGAAATTCTTTTTACATAATATGTATTACCTGTATGTACAGTGGTGGAAGAAATAATAGAAACTTTTTATTCTGACGAGTTTTTCCTATATTCCATTTGTTTATTCGATGTTTAATATATTTTTTTTATTAAAGTCCAGCGTATTATATAACAAATAACATATGGTCAAAATTTTTGGCAACACCGAACGACTGAAAAAAAAATATTTCTGTGACTCACCCGTCAACTCTGGATGTACTATTTTTTATATATGTACCTACTTATCTATCTTAAGGCATCTAGAAACAAGTGCCAATTGACATCCAATATATGCGGTGCGCGTTCATTTCTCGTATGCCTCGCATGCGTTCAAAATGGCAAATATAGTCAAGTATGGTAAGTAACGTTAAATACTGCATATTTTGGTTTGTAGATTGGTTACAAACGTGTATTATCCAAAAATTAATATTTTTGTAGTTTTTCTTTACCTTGATCTTTGTTAAAATACTTTAGTTTAATTTTTATTTTTGCAGGATTCGCCAAGTTTTCCTTATGTGTAACGTTATATATAACTGACTTCCAAAAAATGTAACGTTAAAGACCACCTAAAAACACATTTAAAACAACAAAAGATAGAAAAAAGTGTCTGCATATAAAATGTAGCTTTTATGGGTTATTATCAGCATAAATGAAAAACTTTCGGTTACTACACAACGTTTCAGAAATATAAACCGAAATATATCTACGTGCGGCGGTAACGTTAAAGACAAAAATTTTGACCATATAAATCCACATTTCAAACTTTGTACAGAATTATAAAAGTTCAACAAATTTTACCAAAACTCTCCAAAAATTTCAAACTTTTTATTCAGAATTTTTAAAAAGTTTTTAGTAGTATAAAGTGTCAATTTCAACACGCTAGAAATCGCGTTGATTTTTAACAATTTTTTTTTTAGCTGAGGCTGTTGTGCATTCTCTTTTTATTAGTTAAATTATTAAAAAGCAACGCGATTTCTAGCGTGTTGAAATAGGCACTTTGACCTATTAAAATTTAATGGACTATAGAGCTGCACACCAAAAATTTATTTTAAAATTTCTGAATAGAGTTAGAAATTTTTGGCGGATTTTGGTAAAATTTGTTGAATTTTAATAATTATTTTACAAAAATTGAAATGTAGACTTACATATAAGGTACTTATTATGTAATGCGCTTGACTTTTACAAAAAATATTAAACATAGAATAACCAAAATAAATATAGCCAAAACTGAGCCAAATAAAAAGTTTATTTTATTTCTTCCAACACTATATATACATATATACATAGTATAAAGGAAAGTCGAGATTTTTTGTACGCGGTAATTTCGAAAACTACTGAACGGTTAGTGACGAGATTTTCTCTAACATACTCTGTAACGACAAGAGTGACCTTGTTTTACTTATAGGGAATTTACATGAGGCGATTTTTCAGGCGATTTTTAGTTGAAAGCAACAATCGCCTGGTGTAGGCGGCCTTTCAACTAATCGCTTTCAATGAAGTTGGTCGCCTGCCCACTTTCGTTCAACTTTTGGTTCAACTAATCGCCTGTGAAAGTTGAATCATATAAATTCCCTATTAAAATTTTAATAGGGTTGTCACCTATCTAAAAACTATAAGATCCGCACCGTTCGTTGGATTACAAAACATGAGGTGTCAAATGAAAGGGATTGTCCTCTATAAAAGTTTGTTAATAAAATTACTATATTCAATCATAATAAGCGTGGGCATCAATTCTGCACTGTGGATTACAAAATGAGATACCAAATAAAAGGGCCTGGCTTTCGCATGTACAAAAACTTCATTTTTTTGAATAGGGTTGCAACCTATTTAAAAACTACTGTATTCTATATATAGTATAGAAGACGAAATATTTTGACTCAAAAACCACTGAACGGATTTATACGAGATTTGTTAAGTATAATCTGTATCGATATGAATATTATCTTTTGTACTTTAAATTCCCATAGGGTTGCCACCTGTACAAAAAATTATTAGTTCCGCATTGTTCGTTGGATTACAAGATATGAGGTGTCAGATAAAAGGGCTCGGCTTTTAGATGTTCAATAATGTATTACTTTTTGAGTAGGGTTGCCAATTTCTAAAAATCATAACATCTTCTCCGTTTCTTGGACTAAATCTGAGATAGCAAGTGAAAGTATATGGCCTCTGCATGTGCAATAAGTTTTTTTATTTTTTGTTTGAGTGGGGTTGCCAACTATTTAAAAATTATGTATGTATAATACGCGAGGGCATTTTTTGTTAATGAAATTAGATTTGCAAAGTAGCTTCGATTTAAAAAAATGTGGTGGNTATATACATAGTATAAAGGAAAGTCGAGATTTTTTGTACGCGGTAATTTCGAAAACTACTGAACGGTTAGTGACGAGATTTTCTCTAACATACTCTGTAACGACAAGAGTGACCTTGTTTTACTTATAGGGAATTTACATGAGGCGATTTTTCAGGCGATTTTTAGTTGAAAGCAACAATCGCCTGGTGTAGGCGGCCTTTCAACTAATCGCTTTCAATGAAGTTGGTCGCCTGCCCACTTTCGTTCAACTTTTGGTTCAACTAATCGCCTGTGAAAGTTGAATCATATAAATTCCCTATTAAAATTTTAATAGGGTTGTCACCTATCTAAAAACTATAAGATCCGCACCGTTCGTTGGATTACAAAACATGAGGTGTCAAATGAAAGGGATTGTCCTCTATAAAAGTTTGTTAATAAAATTACTATATTCAATCATAATAAGCGTGGGCATCAATTCTGCACTGTGGATTACAAAATGAGATACCAAATAAAAGGGCCTGGCTTTCGCATGTACAAAAACTTCATTTTTTTGAATAGGGTTGCAACCTATTTAAAAACTACTGTATTCTATATATAGTATAGAAGACGAAATATTTTGACTCAAAAACCACTGAACGGATTTATACGAGATTTGTTAAGTATAATCTGTATCGATATGAATATTATCTTTTGTACTTTAAATTCCCATAGGGTTGCCACCTGTACAAAAAATTATTAGTTCCGCATTGTTCGTTGGATTACAAGATATGAGATGTCAGATAAAAGGGCTCGGCTTTTAGATGTTCAATAATGTAAACACTTTTTGAGAAGGGTTACCAATTTCTAAAAATCATAACATCTTCTCCGTTTCTTGGACAAAATCTGAGATAGCAAGTGAAAGGATATGGCCTCTGCATGTGCAATAAGTTTTTTTATTTTTTGTTTGAGTGGGGTTGCCAACTATTTACAAATTATGTATGTATAATACGCGAGGGCATTTTTTGTTAATGACATTAGATTTGCAGTTGCTTCGATTTAAAAAAAGTGGCAAAGGAAAAGGCGTGACCTTCCGATTTGCAGTAAGGTTTTATTTTTCGAAGAGGGTTGCAATCTGTGCGAAAAATTAAAACATGTGGGCTGTTCGTTAGATTACAAGAAATGAGGTGTCAAATGAAAGACCTTGGACTCCAGATGCGCAATTATATATTATTTTTTAGTAGGGTTGCAATNGGCAGTTGGTTGGTTTCTGTTGGAGATTTTAAACGAACGCACCTTATATATTATTTTTTAGTAGGGTTGCAATCTGTTTGGTTGTCAATCGCATCCTTTTTTATTATCTACACATTCAGCGCGCGGCGAAGCCTCGAGGCCGGCTAGTTATATCCATAAAATGAATAAAAATAAAAATACATGATCCTAAGAAACATAGATAAATTTAATGTAGGAAACAACAATAAAATGTGCACTGCATGCGTTTGAATTGGATATCAGTAGGAATTATACACATTTTTTGCATAAAAATCAGCTGACTTGTTATATCAAAATGAATTTCAGTGAAAAGCAATCACCAGTTGCCCCGGAGCTTATTTCATTTTTCTACCAACTGATAAACGTAATCACTTTGTAAATAAAACTACAGTACAATATCACAATTCCTTGGCACTTTATCTAGATGGGACACTCACCGCCATGTTCTTCCACTTGGACTTGAGACATTTTGTTTGCCGCTTCCGGTTGCGCCGCCAATTTTTCTGCCTTAATTAATATTAAAATTCTTTATTTTATGTGATGTTAAACGCACAAAGCCTTTTGCTTTCAGTGCTCCAATAATTTATCGTCGTTGGTATTGTTTACACTTCTTGGTAACACACTTTTGTGCGATTCGTGAACACACAAAAATTTTTTGTAAACCAATCAATAGACAAACGTTGNCAATCGCATCTTATTTAATATCTACACATTCAGCGCGCGGCGAAGCCTCGAGGCCGGCTAGTTATATCCATAAAATGAATAAAAATAAAAATACATGATCCTAAGAGACATATATAAATTTAATGTAGGAAACAACAATAAAATGTGCACTGCATGCGTTTGAATTGGATATCAGTAGGAATTATGCACATTTGTTGCATAAAAATCAGCTGACTTGTTATATCAAAATGAGTTCCAGTGAAAAGCAATCACCAGTTGCCCCGAAGCTTATTTCATTTTTCTACCAACTGATAAACGTAATCATTTTGTAAATAAACATACAGTACAATATCACAATTCCTTGGTACTTTATCTAGATGGGACACTCACCGCCATGATCTTCCACTTGGACTTGTGACATTTTGTTTGCCGCTTCCGGTTGCGCCGCCAATTTTTCTGCCTTATTTAATATTAAAATATGATGTTAAATGCACAAAGCCTTTTGCTTTCAGTACTCCAATAATTTATCGTCGTTGGTATTGTTTACACTTTTTGGTAACACACTTCTGTGCGATTCGTGAACACACAACAATTTTTTGTAAACCAATCAATAGGCAAACGTTCCTTCTATTATATTGAACGATTTTTAATTAATGAAATTTTAGCATGCGTGCAATTTACGCACCAACGCGGCTCCACTACGCGCTTTCAAGGTCGTTGCACTTTCACTTGGCCAGCACGTCCAGGAGATTTCCTGGTTTCTTGGCTTTATTTATTTGGGGAATAAGCGATTATTATTTATGTGGCAATCGGAGGTCGTTGCTTTATATTTTTATACAACTTTTTGACGGCCAAGGTTTTATAACTTTTTTCTTTAATTGGTTAAAATGACCGCGACCACACAGCCAGCAGCAATAATGAACATCACAAATCAACTGAAAGTGCACCAAGTTAAAGGAAATCCCCACTAGCGCTGCGACAATAGCCCCAATCAGGTATTACTTTTGTTTTGACATTCGCAGAAAATTGTAAGAGTAGGGATGCCAGACCCCACCAAAACTTTAATTAAATCTGTGAATATGGCAGCATTGGCTAAAATCCGCTGCCCGTGAACCGGTTANCACGTCCAGGAGATTTCCTGGTTTCTTGGCTTTATTTATTTGGGGAATAAGCGATTATTATTTATGTGGCAATCGGAGGTCGTTGCTTTATATTTTTATACAACTTTTTGACGGCCAAGGTTTTATAACTTTTTTCTTTAATTGGTTAAAATGACCGCGACCACACAACAGCGATAATGAACATCACAAATCAACTGAAAGTGCACCAAGATAAAGGAAATCCCCACTAGCGCTGCGCCAATCGCCCCAATCAGGTATTACTTTTGTTTTGACATTCGTAGAAAATTGTAAGAGTAGGGATGCCAGACCCACCAAAACTTTAATTTAATCTGTGAATATGGCAGCACTGGCTTAAATCCGCTGGCCGTGAACCGGTTTTTGACTGGAGTAATTGATTTTGTTGTTGTAGCTGAAACCCGCATGAACCATTTAGAATTGTGTAGTTGGTACATGTGAAACCCGTGAACAAATTACCTAGGCTTTACACCGGACAATACCGTCATGACAATAGCGATCCATGCACAATTTTTCACTAATACATGCATATTTTTCATTGGAAAATTTTGACAACCAATCGGGCTTTCGCACGCGGCGATTTCTCAGATAACTTTTGCGTTCAACTAACGCAGGGTTGCACGAAAAAAAATTTATGGTTAAAAATATCAAAATATAAAAAAAGATCAAAATATTCGCCAGAAAAAGGCGTTCTCATTGTTCAGCTTTTCATTCTACTTTTAGTTGAACGGCTCTTCAACTAATCGCTTTCAACAAAGTTGGTCGCCAGCCAACATTTAGCCATTCAATTTTTTTTCGTGCAACCCGGCGTGAGTTGGACGCAAAATCGCCGCGTGCGAAACCTTTTAATACCAAAAAACGTAAATGAGAAAATAAGCTAGTCCTGAAACGGTTTGCTAGTTTATGAACCGTTTCGGAACTTCTTCCATGCTACTAAAAAATGCAACCATTACTGCCTTTTCAAGCACAACCAACTTCAACAACAGTTTCAAACGAGTAGTGTAGTAGCGAGTAAAAAATTCAAAATGGTCGCCCTGTTTTGTTGAGTGCGCGAAGAAACTTTCTGCTCCTGTTCAGAACTAATTATTTACTAATTGAAATAAGTAAAATTAAAAAATTCAAGAGAAAAACATTCTTCGATTTCTGTGCTTTCATTAAAAAGTGAAGTATTCGCGCAATTGCAACAAAACAGTGTGAAAAATCGGTGAGAAACTGTCCACTCGATATCGTGCGCAAAGTGTATGCAAAAAGAAAAGTGTTTCTACATCTGCCTCTTAACATTTTTCGGTTCACAGCGACGGAAAAGCAAACAAGCGAAAAATTATTGAACGTATATGCGTTGAGTGAGCAAATAGCAACGGGCGGCGGACAAACAGCTTCATAGCTATTATAATAAGAGTGTAGCACTGGCGTTTAAAAAAAAAATATATATATACATGGAAGAAATTCTCGGAATCCATGCGTTAATTCAACACTGCCATCGTTAGTGTTTAGGTACGAAGAGCATAAAAAGACCAGCAAAGAAATCGCGCTTAAACGAAGTACGGCTTTGTATCGAGAACAAAGCATCTAGAGAAAGACCACTTAACGAGGTAGCAGTGCAGCAGGAGGGAAGCGGTCAAGCATAAGAAAGCTTTTGGCACGCCGCATTCCTCCTCGCCATTGGGCGGAGCAGTAATCTGTTAGCAGCTATGGATGATGAGTTTTAGCGACTATGATTATTGCCTACAATTTTCTTCTGGCAAGTGTGTGAACTACGTCATTGTTAGCACAACTAAATTTTCTGAAAGTACAAATAACAATAACTTAGTGAATGTTCATTTATTTAATTGTGCAATTGCCATATAGTCAATAAGCCAAGTAAACGCGTATACCCCAATCATCAATTGTGCTTCTACCTTCCCTCTCATGTAATACACCAACATTCATGGATATAACTAACGCGGCCGCATAGACAGCTGGTAGCTAATATTTCAATAAACGCAACAATTGCACAATTTGTCAAAATTAATGGTAAGTTTCTTCAAAATATAAACCATGAGTAATAGAAAAAAAAAATGCCCAGCGCTTGTAAAACACTTTGATCCACTTGTATATTTACATTTACATGCTTTTATACATACATACATGGACATATGTATTTGTTGGATATCTGTGCCAGTGTATGCATGGGCGCGTGCAACTCTAGTTTGCGATTGTCTATATGAATGTACTTTGGGGATTTTCACTCTCCTCATCGCATCAACCAGCCATTGCCAAAGTGAGGCCAGCCCACACCGCTTCTGAGTTGTAGCTAAACTCATGTACATACATATGTACATATGTATGGGATGATGTCTAGCTCAGCGTGTACAATTGCTGCTTGCTCAAACGAGCGCGGCAGAACGCGGGTATACAAGTCGATAAATTTTAGGGATATTAAGTCATTTTACAAGGTTTAGAAGAATATGTATGTTCCCCTTCTTTAGCCAAAGAAAAGTTTTGGAATTCAGTTACTATTATTAGTACCTATATTATGGTTGTATATACTTGTGACACTTAAACTAATTATATAGCAGTTGGGTTAGCATTAACGAATATGTACTTACTATAATGACTTAATACATAGATACATATGGGTATTTCCTGGAAAGTGTCAACCAAGAGCAAGATAAAATTTTGCCTGTGCAAAGTTTATAGATGCCAATCGATAACTACATATTTTGTCTTTCATCCACCAAAATATTGGACTAATAGGTCCATTTCATTTCAAGATATTTGCGTCTTTCCAACTACACTTTCAAAAACTTGGTTTTTTTCGGCGAGATCATACCTTCCAGAAAGACTTCATAATTTTGGTATACGATTAAAAAGAATTGGAACTCTATACAAAAATTTAGTATAGCTTATTTTCCGTACATCTTACCACAAAAACAACGTAAAAATATATTAGCAACCGTTTTAAGTTAAATTACAAATTGTATAATTTTTGTTCATATTGCTTCTATGTAGATATATAGATATAGTACATACTTCTGCTTGTACGAAGAAATGACTTCAACCAACGTTAAAATCAGGGCTGAGAGAGCAATGAAGTGGAGACCGAATTTGAAGAAAAAAAAAAAGAAAAGTGGGAGGAATATAAAAAACGACGGATCGAAAGAAAAACACAATAGAAGAATAGTTAAAAATGATCATATAATGGCAAAAAGCACTAAGATGCGACTAACGGGCAAAAAAATATTCATTGAAACCAGGGTGGTCAACTCGTGGGGAATTCCCCGATTTGCGGGGAATTCGAAATCGGGGATTGCTACCCTGATTGAAACCATTCGCGCTGGCGCCAATTTTTTTTACTTTATTACGGTTTTGGAAAAGAAATAATGTCAATTGACTTTATTTCGCACCAGTGAGTGCGTTTAAATTCTTAAACGAAAAATTGTATCTCATTGGAAAAAATTTGAACGTCCGAACGGGAGCGTCCAAACAACTTTGCACAGTTTTTGAACCGTTACCGTTAACAGATTCGCAGAATTTTCNCAAAAAATAAAAAAACTTGTCACTTGTTATTGTGTGTATGTATGTACATACATACATACATATGTGTGACATGTGCTCACTAAATTTTAAAATTTTCTGCTATTTATTGCAGCAATCAGTGCCTTAATCATCGCCACTCAATAAATATTATCTTAATCGAATTTCATGATAACGTTTACGTTTCGCAAAAGTCGAGTAAAATTTGAAAATTGACGACAAAATTGGTAAATGGTGCTTTTTTGAACACTTCTTGCACTCTATACCAAGAGTCTAGCTGCTTATTTGGTATTGCATAAGAATGTATGTACATTAGGGTGGTCCTAAAGTCGGAATTAATCTCAATATTTTTTGATTTCAAAATAAAAAATAGCGATTTATTTAATCGGTATAGAACAGGGGTGAGAGCATAAGAATTCCGACCATACTTTTTCACATGCATTTTTGTACCACCCTAATGTTATGTATTTTCAATTACTCAAATTAGTAATACCCTAAAAATACGCTTTATCGCCACTTTAAAGCGTTTGTTAAATATTGTATTATGTACATACATATATACAAATTTATTATGGATGAACATACATGCATATATTACATAACCACAATCCCACTTAACATTGAACGAACCTATAAAATTGATTGATTTTCCATTTTCAAAGGCAACTAAATTCTCAGGGCGATAAGTTTTGCTTTATTAACGTTGTAATTATTGAAAATAACGCGCGCATACAAACATTTCAATAAACTCTTACGTGCGTACATGTATGTACTTAGTATACTTTCAACAAGCACACAAATAAACACACACACCCGTTATATTCGTAACTAATAATTTGTAGCATTTTGTTGAACGAAAAGTGGTGCTTGATAATTGATTTAAATTGTTCTCATACTTTGTGACATTTTATAGTGGCTCGATTGTTTATTGGTGCGTGCATATGTGTAATATGTAATTACATATGTACATATATATAAACATACAGTGCTCCATAAAAGTGGGTCAACAGAGGTAAGAAAAAGTTGTGTGCATTCTCAAGCAGTTTGTTTTTAGGTTAGAGTAAACTGAAATTTGGTCTACTATAAAAGATTATATCTTATACCTATAGTAATGCCAGTTGCTGTCGAATTGACGCGATATGTTAAGGTTTTTCGATAAATTTCGATAATTTAATACCTATCTATAATTCAATTAATTTCAAAAACACTAAAATCAGACAACAACTACATTCGATAAATTTCGGCATGTTTCGGTAGTAAAGAAAACGTCATTACTTTGAATTAGGGTTGCTATCCAACTTCATAAACGACTAAGTTTTTATTATAAGTATTTAAAATTAAATTTTTTTTCTGCACGATTTTACACATTTAATTAGAGCTTTACTTTTATGTTAGACTGTAGGTACACAATGCATACATACATTTGTACATGCAGCAGCGATCAATAAAATAGTAGCAAAATTCAAAATTATGTTTGCAACTTATGTTTATTTATAATTTTTATAATTTTGATTTAAAATATAGTGCGGCATTTTCTTCCATATAACGTATAAAACTATATATATTTTTATATGGAAGAAAATGCGCAACACCCTCCACGAAAAAAATACTAAAATTGATGAATGGGTTACAAAAATGTTCTAGAAATTCTGAATAAAAAGTTTCAAATTTTGATGAAAACTTTTTGAAGTTTGATTAATTTTTGTGAACTTTATGCAAACCTTGAAACTTTAATTTATGTGGCTTCTGTTTTAGATCGAACTATATTTTCAATGAAAATTTAAAAAAAAAGAAATAAATAAACATAAGTCGCAAACAACATCATTTTGAATTTCGCTACTATTTTATTGATCGCTGCTGTACATCTATAAATATTTTTTTTATAGCATACATGCATATTTATCTACATCATAAAAATGTACAATCATACAATAAAAAAGCAATAATAATTTAAAATACCAAATTTCAGAGCTATTAACCACTCTTCATCGCCATCGGCATTGCCTTCTCTATACATACATACATACATACATATATACCTACATACTTGGGTACTCTATGACAGCCTCATTCAATTATTAACATTATAAAATATTTAGTAGCCAACGTGATAAGGAGTATTGTAATTTGTGCACAAATTAACACCGAACATTGTGTGAATTAACTAAATGAATGAATGCTTGAGTGCGGCAAACTGCCAAAAATAACACAAAAAGCCAAATGTGAGAAAGCAAACAAGCACAAGCAAGCAACGAACCAGGCAAGCCAACGAGCGATCAACTTGCCAACGGAAGGCTGACAAGCCACAATTTGTTTTCAAAGTGTTGCTACACGACAATTTGAAATTCCATTTGGGAGTGCAACCACTAAAACACGGCATTTATTACAAACTAAATCTGCTTACAATGGCTTTTAACTGCGTACGACCATTTCCGCGCCCTAGGCCCACAGTAGTCGTTGAAGTTGGTGGTGACGATGTGCAGGCTGGGCTGGGCTGTAGCGGCGATGAGGTGCTTCGCTTATTCACTCATTCGCTCGTTTGCGCTCACGCGTTTAAATTGCAAATATGGTCAATTTGTGAGTTCATGCGCCCGATTTCACGCTTCTTATTATGCCCCAGCTCCACACCGCCACCACCATTATTGGTTTTGTTGTTGTTGCAGTGCTTGTTCTCCTAGCCGTTGAACAACGAACTTACAACGGAACGAAATGACAACAGCGCGTCCGCCGAATAACACAACGCAATGGAACGGCCGTGGGTGGATGGTTGATGATGATGATGATGATGATGACGATGTGTTCGTCGCAATAAAGTCATAACTACCGGCACGTCGTCGCTTACAAGTAGTTTGTGGAAGCGCAAATGAGGGTGGATATTTATTACATTTCGAGCATAATAAAGCAAATAATCGACAGCATAATAATATATAAGGACACACTGCCGGATAGCTAGCGTGCACGATGGAGTAGCTAGTGGCTTCTTTCGAACTGTATCGTTAGCTGACTCGCTGCCTGGCCGACTCGCTAGCTGGCTGTCTGGCTTGCTGGCTGTCTGGCTTGCTGACAGTTCAATTGAATACAAATAGTGTGTCATACACTTAAGATTATCGCAAACGTGTTGGCGATAATCATGCCTGAAATCTTCACTCTACAACATTGCTTTTGTTTTACTTCTGTGAGTTTTTGCCATACCCTCGGGTATTTTGTGGGTGCAAATTAGTAGGAAGCTTGTTAAATTAAGTCTCTGAGTGAGAATTTGTAACGCAATGAAATTTGATTTGCACATTGTGAGTAAATGAATGACTGAATGAAAATATTTTCTTTGCAAGTGGTTTTGTGAAAGTAGAGTGGAAGTGTTGATTTTTGCTAATTTTGTTAATATTTCAACCACCATTTTAAACTTGAACTGAATAGTTTACATATTTCCGTGATTTGTATGTTTTTTTTTAGGGTGCGATTGACTTTGCGCCAATATGTAAATAATTTTTCATTTCATG